TCCAGGCCCCCGCAAGCTCAGTAAGGTCTGGACCAGGCGTCGCCTCGTCGTCGCTGTCCGAGAAGACCAGCGCGGACACCACCGCGGGAGCCTCCGCCGCGGCAGGCGCTGCCGCACCTCGCTTTTCACTCCTAATGTTGTGGCCCGCAAGTACTTCAGCAACCAACCACGACTTCAGCTTCGCCATGGACTCTGGTTTGTCAATCATCGTCTTGGCTTCCGATGTCGCCTGAAGGTCCACGCCGCGCATGTTCTTCGCGACATGACCAGGCTCCGTGAGCGAGGCCAGGGATAGCATCCATTATGAATCAACGTAGAGGCAAGACCCTCTGGCGAAGATATCGCCCCAATACGCCCAATCACCCCGGAGTGCGATGGAAGCCTGCAATACATTTTTCATTGCACTGCTGAGAATTCCCTCGCTTCGAGGCTCGTTAGGATAACCCTGGTCATTAAGCGCCCTCCCCGCAGTGAGAAGGTCGCATTTGCCCCGAAGAGCAGCCCACTTTTCCAGGACCTTTGGGCGCAGGACCTCCCGCGAGACGCTCTCGGCGAGGAAGGCATCGAAGCGGAGGAAGGTACACCCCAATTCCGAAATCCAGACCACAATCCTCGCACCGTTGAGTTGCTCTGTCGCCCTCGAAGATTGTTCCAACGCGAACGACGCAGCAGAGCAGAGGCCAAGAACTGGGGCTTCTTCAAGCAGCATACATATTACCAGATCCCTTGGTCGTGGTGCTCTTCCGAGAAAATTTCATCAGCGCATCGCTCTGCTTATGAAAGATCATGGTATCCCAGACCAGGTCCTTCCCAGGAATCCATTTGGCAGGGCCGTTTTGCTGCCTCCATCCCTGCGTCGCCGGCGTGGCAGGAGCGACAGACATGCTTTCCATCACAAAAGAGACCGGCAGAGAAACCCGAGCAACAACAACACTCCTGAGAGGCTTGAGCCCAGAAAACACTACGTACCCTCCTGTGGCCACCCCACAGCAGGCTCACGGAACGGACGGGGCACGAACTCTCCCTATGCATCCCTGACAGGGACAGGCCTCGAACTGAACGACACTATGTGTGGCGTTTGCATTTGTGTGTCATCCGGATGCAATTTTCACGCATTCAGCGAAAGCCTTTTCATGAGCTGGCTCTTCAGGCCCTAGGAGCTCACCCCAGGGCTAGAAAAGCGAAGAGCGCTGATACTGGGAAATTATTCGCCCTTGTTTCGCCATGACCCCCGCTATCCTTGCAAAGACTCCGCTCCGTACTTTGGGACTTCTGCGTCTCAATGATAAGAAGAGCCGACAGAAACAAGTACACGAACGCTGTGAACGCGTCATGGATTGCCACAAGCCAGTTATCCCGGTAGTGGTACAGAACATCATACGGAGGGTGTGGTGGGAGTTCGTCACCTGTGGTCGTAGTAGTCGTTGTGGTAGTAGTCGTATCATTGATACTGATATTGCAATTAATCTGAGAATTAAACGTGTGATTGCTCTGTTTATCATGAACAGTATTTTTCGTGTTGTTCATATCATCGTGCTGCTGTCACCCCCTTGCTGCTAGTATGATGATTATGCTTCTTCGTAAGAGTATGACTGTCCTATTTCTCCTCCTCAATTTCTTTATACGTTGATTTTCTGTCTAACCATTACTACCAGCATCGTTCGTGCTACTCTGATTGTGTCCCTTCGTGTTTATATCCTTTTCCTACGAACATCAGTATTGTTCTGTTCTACGTAGTCCAATACTTCCCCTCATGTGCTGCATTGCTCGTATTACGACTATCACTGGTTTTCGTCTTACTCTTATTATTCCTAGTCGTATTCTTATTATGATGATTATTATTATCAAGAGTGTTACTTCTCTTCTTAGCATTCGCACTAGTATCATCATTATGATTCGCATGTTTCTTGTTATTTCTCTTTTTCCTCCTCCTCCTCCTCCTCCTCTTCCTATTCCTTCTCCTTCTCTTTCTTGTCCTCGCCCTCCTCCACCCAAGCGAATCAGACCACCGCGTGATTCACGACGAAATCCCTGTCGCACGAATCCTCCGTCATGACGCCCGACTTGTAGTCGAACCAGCCGTCGCCAGCGGCCACCGCCACGTACACCGGACCGTTGTTGTACAGCTCCTTCACGATCATCTCCTGGAACGGGACAGGTTGACAAGAAAGGGGAAGGGAAAGGGAGAGCGGGAATTGCCAAGCTAGGTGCAATCGCGCCACATCTGACATCCGACCCCTCTCACCCATCCCTTCACATTGCGCTGACTTTGTCTCTCTCCGCGGAAGCGTGGCACGGCAGACCTGCAACCACAAAAAAATACCCCATCGTGTTATGCACGGACACAAGTGCTGCGCACCACGGAGGAGGAGATGGCGCATGAGCAGGAGGAGGAGCAGGAGGAAAGAGAGTAGGAGGATGAGGATGCAGGAGGACGAGGACGACCAGCAGGCAGCAACAGGAACCCGGGTGGAAGAAGCGGGAAGAGCAGGAGGACAAGGGGAATGCGGAGGATGGGAAAGGAGGCGAGCTACAACGATGAGAAATGATTCAGATCCAGAAAGGTGGCATGCGCTTAAGCGAGTGACATCCTGAACGACGAGAGGCCCACGTTACAGCGGGAACACACTTTGGAAGGACTGAAAACGTGCGGATTAGAAAAACACGCAAGATCAGCGTTTGAAGCCCTGTGTAAAAAATAAACAGGGAGGACAAGACACTCTCAGGGTCTTCCGGGGGAAAGAGCAGCATAACACTCATGTTGCAAAAACTGTGGAACGAGGGGAAACAGGGAGAGCAAGAGAGAGGAGAGAGAGAGAGAGAGAGAGACAAAATACAGAGAGAGCGAGAGCTCCTCCTCCTCCTCCTCCTCCTCCTCCTCCTCCTCCTCCTCCTCCTCCTCCTGTTCCTCCTCCTCCTGCTCCTCCTTTTCCTGCTCCTCCTCCTTCTCCTCCTCCTCCTCCCCCTCCCCCTCCCCCTCCTCTCCTCCTCCTCCTCCTCCTCCTCTTTCCTCCTCCTCCTCTTCCTCCTCCTCCTCCTGCTCCTCTCCTCCTCCTCCTCCTCCTCCTTCTACCTCCCTCCTCCTCCTCCTCCCCCTCCCCTCCTCCTCTCCTCCTCCTCCTCCTCCTCCCTCCTCCTCCTCCTCCTCCTCCTCCTCCTCCTCCTCCTCCTCCTCCTCCTCCTCCTCCTCCTCCTCCCCTCCTCCTCCTCCTCCTCCCCCTCATCCCCCTCATCCTGCTCCTCCTCCTCCTCCTGCTCCTCCTGCTCCTCCTCCTCCTCCTCCTCCTCCTCCTGCTCCTCCTGCTCCTCCTCCTCATCCTCCTCCTCCCCCTCCTTCTCCTCAGAGAGAGAGAGAGCGCACCAGTTCGGACCAGGCCTGCTCCAGGCCCCACAGCGGGCCAGGGCTGTGCGAGCCTGCCTCACAGGGCGGGAGGCGCGCCGAAAGGACAGGGGCGGGGTGCTGCCCTCCCCCTTGGCGCGGCCGGAAGGACCCGCCTGGAAAACATAGCTCGGGGGCGAGACTTCGCGAATACCCTGGCGGGCTGCCACTTGCGCAATTCTCGCACCTCTCGTGGGCGGAGGTGTACGCGGACACAGTCGAAGGACCTCCCAGCCTCCTTGGGGGCGTTGAGTGTTGCTCGACATTGTTTGGCGAGGCATTCAAGAGCGTTGCAAATGTCTCAATGCATCATTTTGTATGTACCGCTCCAGTTGATGGCCGCCTCGCGTGAAGAACGGGCTGGGTACATCCCGAACATTTTAGCTTTTATCCCCCAGAGGACTGTGTGTGTGTCCATATTGTGGCTTTTACCCCCGAGAGGATAATCGGGAGCGCGCAAACATGGTTGAGCGATCCATGGATTTGGCGCGCGGCCGCCAAATCCATGGATCCGGGGAGATGCCCTCCCCCAAAATGCGGCCGGTGCCGCCTCGCTCGGCGGCAGAAATCCGCGACTTCCCATGGAAACGGGACCCGTCGCTAATCCACGCCCCCCTGATCCATGTTTGCGGTCGCCTGAAACACATAGCGGGCACGAGGTGAACAAACCACTCGAGGGCCCGTCTGCGCACCTGGAGAGTGGGCGCCGACAGCAGCACGCTTTGGCGCGCGCGCCTCGGTGCCTCGCTTTGGACGGTGCCACGCTTGCCGCGGTGCGCCCGATCAGCTGTCAAGCGTGTTTTAATAGGCCTAAGTCTCCGTCACAGCTCATCTAGAGCTATGGTGGCGCGGTTGACCACGCCGTGCCCGGGGTGGATCAAAAGCACGGCGCAGGCGTCTTGGAAGCGCGGTGTTTTGTCCGTGCATGGTCTGTTCTTTGTGTTGGTTGTCTTGCAGCGAGAGAGCGTGATCCACCGCCGCTTTACTGCGGAAAATTCCCCCGCTTTTCCTCTGGAACCCGGGGTCTCCCCCCCCCCCCCTCCCGGAAAATCCCCCCCCCCCCCCCCCCCCCTGCTGGACCCCCCCCCCCTTCCCCCGTCAAAACTAGTAAAGAACAGAGTGCGAGCCCATTGAGGGGCACTTCGATTGAAAAACTGAAGGAAAATGGGCGCCGCGCAGGGAGGATCAATAATGATTCTTTAGGAGTGAGAGTTCGACATCACCCTTTCCTCATCCTGATCCTGTTCATTATCATCCTCCTGCTCTTCGCCCTCGTACTCTCACCCACGCCTCCACCTCCCTTCCTCCTCCCTGTTCCCCCCCACCACCCCTCCTCTGTATCCTCCTCCTCGGTTCCATCCCCTCGAGCACCCTGCCCGAGCTCCTCCTTGTTCTCGGGCAGCTTCATCCACCCCCTCATGCCGAGGGCGTGGCCTGCCGTTTTCTCCTTGACGCGGTGCGTCTCGCTGCCGTCGGCGCCAAGGATGCCCCTGGCCAAGTCCCGGAAGTTTGCGAAGTGAGCTGCTGGTTCCGCCCTCCTCCTCCTCCTCCTCCTCCTCCTCCTCCTCCTCCTCCTCCTTATCATCATCATCATCATCATCATCATCATCATCATCATCATCATCATCATCATCATCATCATCATCATCATCATCATCATCGTCATCGTCATCGTCATCATCATCATCCTCATCATCATCATCATCATCAGCATCATCATCATCATCAGCATCATCAGCATCATCATCATCATCATCATCATCATCATCATCATCATCATCGTTATCATCCTCCTAATCGTCGTCGTCGTTTTCTTCCCCTCTCCCTCTCCTCCTTTTTTTTTGTTGTTGCACTGTCGCGCCACTCTGTCCAAAAACCATTCGGCGAACGATAGCGGGCAAAAACTCAAACGTCGTTGAGGCCAACACTCTCCATGAAAGAAAGCACAGATAGGCAAAGTCCTCCTGCCAGTGAGCATCGCGAATACAGCTGTAACTGTTTACACCAGAAACCGCATTTGAATACAAATGCATGTTCATCCACCTCATCGTCGTTGTCCTCTCCATCGTCATTACAAGCACGGCTATCATCATCACCATCACCATCACCATCACTCCCATCATCATCGCCACCGCCATCACCACACATGAGCATCATCACCTTCACCACCATCCTCATCAGCATCATCATGATAGTCATCAGCATCCTCAGCATCATCATCATCATCATCAGCATCATCATCATCATCATCATCATCATCATCATCATCATCGTCAGCATCATAAACGTCATCATCAGCAGCAGCATCATCAGCATCATCGGCATCATCATCATCATCAGCAGCATCATCTTCATCATCAGCATCAGCATCAGCATCAGCATCAGCATCAGCATCATCATCATCATCATCATCATCATCATCATCATCATCATCACAATCATCATCATCAGCAGCATCATCATCGCCATCACCACCACCATCCTCATCATCAGCATCGTCATCATTGACATAATCAGTATCCTCATCATCATCATCAGCAGCATCATCATCAACATCGTCATCATCAGCATCGTCCTCAATGTCATGCTCATAAGCATCATCGTCATCATCAACAGCATCATCATCATCAGCAGCAGCATCATCGTCATCATCATCAGCAGCATCACCAGCAGCAGCATCGTCATCGTCATCAGCATCGTCATCATGAGCATCATCATCCTCAATAGCATGAGCATTGTTCTCAGCACCATTTATCACATCAGAATCGCCTTCAGCATCATCATCATCATCATCATCATCATCATCATCATCATCATCATCATCATCATCATCATCATCATTGCCAGCATCGTCGTCGTCGTCCTCATCGTCGTCGGTCGTCGTCGTCGTCATCGTCGTCGTCCTCGTCGTCTTCGTCGTCGTCGCCGTCGCCGTCGCCATCGTCGCTTTTGTCGTCGTCGTCGTCTTCGCTGTCATCCTCATGATCCTGAAGGTCACCATCATCGTCGTCATCGTCATCGCCATCATCGCCACCACCGTGGCCAGCTCGGATCCTGGTGGCCACCTCGGTGGACGCCTTCATGCCCTTCGGGCACTTCGCCGTCTGGTTCTCCCCCGCGCTCTTGCGCCACTCGCCAGCCTCCGGGAGGCACCCCCACAGGAGCGCCCGCCGCGCCCTCTGGCCCCCACCCTGTAGGAAAGGGGGGAGGAAGGCCAGGGGGGAAGGAAGGGGGAGGGGGAGGAGGAGGAGGAGGGGGAGGAGGAAGAGGAGGAAGAGGAGGAGGAAGAGGAGGAGGCGGAGGAGTAGGAGGAGAAGGAGAAGAAGGAGAAGAAGGAGAAGGAGGAGGAGGTGGAGGACTACCACGAATACCGCATCCACAAGAGTAACTAAGGAGGAGGTGGTGGAGGAGTAATCTGTGGAGGGAGGAGGGTGAGGAGGAAGAGAAGGTGGGGGATGGGAGAGGAGGAGAAGGAGGAGGAGGAGGAGGAGGAGGAGATGAAGGAGAAGGAGAGGGAGGGGAGGAGGAGGAGGGAGGAGAGGAGGAGGAGGAGGAGGAGAGAGGAGGAGGGGGGAGGGGAGGGGAGGGAGGAGGAGGAGGGAGGAGGAGGAGGAGAGAGGAGGAGGAGGAGGAGGAGGAGGAGGAGGAGGAGGAAAGGAGGGAGGAGAGGAGGAGGAGGAGGAGCCTGACCCTGCAGCAGCTCCAGCTGAGGACTTCGGGGGGGAGGCGGGGGAGGAGGAGGAGGAGGAGGAGGAGGAGGAGGAGGAGGAGGAGGAGGAGGAGGAGAGGAGGAGGAGAGGAGGAGGAGGAGGAGGAGGAGGGGAGGGAGGAGGAGGTGTCGTCGCGTCACGGACAGCCCTCGGCGTACCTCCCCGCACGGATATTCGCTAAATTCTGCCGCCCTGTAGGGGTCGGCCCACACCTCTTGACAGGCACGGCACGGCATGGGCACGGCACGGCACGGTCACGGCACGGTCACGGCACGGCGCGCGGGCGGCAACTGGATCGCACGCTGAAAAACCAGACACGACACGGCACGGCACGCGGGTGGCAACCAAGCACGGCACGGCACGGCACGCGGGAGCAAAATTTGCCGCATCCTGCCGACCAAATACAGCACG